GATCAGCGCGTGCGAGAAGGGCGAGTTGTGGCAGCGAGCGCTGGCGCTACTGAGCGAGATGTGGGAGGCGAAGCTGGTTCCTAACGTCATCAGCTACAATGCTGGGATCAGCGCGTGCGAGAAGGGCGAGCAGTGGCAGCGAGCGCTGGCGCTACTGAGCGAGATGTGGGAAGTGAAGCTGGAGCCCAACGTCATCTCCTACAATGCTGGGACCAGCGCGTGCTCGAAGGGCGAGCAGTGGCAGCGGGCGCTGGCGCTGCTGAGCGAGATGTGGGAGGCGAAGCTGGAGCTCACCGTCGTCAGCTACAATGCTGGGATCAGCGCGCGCTCGAAGGGCGAGCAGTGGCAGCGGGCGCTGGCGCTGCTGAGCGAGATGTGGGAGGCGAAGCTGGAGCTCACCGTCGTCAGCTACAGCGCTGGGATCAGCGCGTGCTCGAAGGGCGAGCAGTGGCAGTGGGCGCTGGCGCTACTGAGCGAGATGTGGGAGGCAAAGCTGGTTCCTAACGTCATCAGCTACAGCGCTGGGATCAGCGCGTGCGAGAAGGGCGAGTTGTGGCAGCGAGCGCTGGCGCTACTGAGCGAGATGTGGGAGGCCAAGCTGGTTCCTAACGTCATCTCTCCTACAATGGCCGACTCAGCGCGTAGGAAGAGGCCCAGAGTGGCAGCGAACCAGCTCCTCTGGGCCCCCTCTGGGCCCCTGCAGGGGGACTCTCGGGACCATCCGGGCCGCCTCGGAGTCTTCGGAGTGCCCCGATGGCTCAGCGGACGGTCTCACGCTCCCGAAAATCGGCTTCGCTCGCTTTGGAGACGGCCTCAGGGCGGCCAAAGGCGGCCAAAGATCCCCGCAAGCCGCCCCAAGAGGCCCCCGAGAGAGGCCCCACGAGGCAAAAATCGTCCGATTCCGGTGGGAAAATGTATATTTTCGGCTCACTCGCATTTTGGGTGTGCACAGCGTACAGGACGGCCCCGCATCCCTGCAAGTCCGCCCCAACACGGACCCAGACACCCCCAAGACGGCCTCAGGCCGGCTCAAGACAGCCCGAAGACGGCCCCCGAGAGCGCCAAGACGGCCCAAGAGAGGCCCCGGAGAGCCCCAAGAGGCTCCTAAGAGAGCCCCGAGAGGGCCGGAAGAGGTCCCCGAGAAAGTTTGCGAGGGCTTCCAGAGAGCCTCGAGGCGGCCGAAGTGCCTCAAGACGGCTCCGGAGCCCTCCAGGACGGCTCCAGCGCGCTTCAAGAAAGAACAAAAAGGACTTCCAAAATAGCTTCAGGCGGGCCACACGGGACGCCGTCAAGACAGCCATGGACGCCCTAAGCAGCCCCGATTATTAAAAAACTCCCCGCTGGAGACATTGCCTTCTTCCCTCTGGCAGGCCCCTCTTGCAGGCCCGGGGTCGGTGTGGTCGGGGTCATCGTGGTCGGCGCTTTGTCGCCGTCGTCGTTGTCGAGGACGGGCAACGAGGCTTCCTAAACGCCCCAAGTGGGCTCCACGACGAGCCCCAAGAGAGCCCGAGCACCGAACAATCGTCACATTCCCGTTGGAAATATTGCATTTTAGCAGTTCATGGGCTTGCCCGCTTAATAGCGTCCAAGACGGCCATACAAGGGCTCACGATGGCTTCAGGACGGTTCCTGAGGCGCCCATGGCGGCCCACGGGGTGCCCAAGACAGCCTCAAGAGTGGCCCAGGACGGCCCAACACGACCCCCAGACGGTGCCCAGACTGCTTCAGAGACCCCCAAGGCGGCCCCAGCCACCCCCCAGACGGCCCCGACAACGCCTCACACGGCCTCCAGACGCCCAAGAGGCTTTCAAAACATTCCAAGTGGGCTCCACGACGAGCCCCAAGTTGCCAAGGGAGCCCGAACACTGAAACATCGTTCCATGTTCTCGGGAAGTGGCGCATGTTGGCAGTTCTTCTTCATAGCGTCCAAGACGGCCATACAAGGGCCCAAGATGGCCCCAGGACGGCTCCTGAGGCGCCCATGGCGGCCCACGGGGCACCCAAGACAGCCTCAAGAGCGGCCCAGGACGGCCCTAGACTACCCCCCGACGGTGCTCACACTGCTCCAGAGACGCCCAAGACGGCCCCAGCCAACCCCCAGACGGCCCAGGACCGTCTCCACACGGCCCAGGCGGCACCCGAAGCAGCCCCAGAGGGCAGAGGGCCCCAGCAGGCTTCCAGGAGGCCGAAAAGCAGCGCTGAGAGGCTCCTGAACGACCCCCAGAGGCACCAAGATCATGGCCCAAGAAGCACCGAAGACGGCACCAACAGCAGCCCAAGACAGCCTAAGACGGCCTAAGACGGTCCCAAAACGGCTCCCAGCGCACCATGGGGCTCTGATGCTTGTTCGGCGTTCCGTGCCGGATTTCTCCCAAAACCCTTTGCCTTTTTGTTGGTCTGGAGCCTTCTCCGCGGCCTTTTGGGGCCATGCCGTGTTTCGCTCTCCTGGTGGCTCAGAATCGCCTCGCCTCGTGGGGCTTGATAGCTTCGGGGAGTTTTTGAAAGAGGCCCCAGAGGTCTCTTGGCGGGTCTCGGCCCTGCCCTATCATGATAGGACAGGTTTTCGACGCCACTTCGGTCTACTTCGGGCCATCTCCGGCTCCTATCGGCGATCATTTCGGGCCATCTTTGGGGCTTCATGGGGTCATTTGGCGGGTTTCGGCCCTGCCCTATCATGATAGGGCTGGTTTCGACACCATTTGGGCCCTCTTTGGGCCATCTCCGGCTTTCATCGGCGCTCATTTCGGGCCACCGTTGGGGCTTCATGGGGTCTCTTCGAGGGTCTCGGCCCTGCCCTAGCATGATAGAGCAGGTTTTCGCGCCATTTGGGTTCACTTTGGGCCATATCCGCCTCCCATCGGCGCTCATTTCGGGCTACCTTCGGTGATGATGATGATGATGATGATGATGATGATGATGATGATGATGATGATGAAGATGATGATGATGATGATGATGATGATGATGATGATGATGATGATGATGATGATGATGATGATGATGATGATGATGATGATGATGGTGATGATGATGATGATGGTGGTGGTGGTGGTCGTGGTGATGGTGATGATATGATGATGCCGATGATGATGGTGAGGATTGTGATGATGATGGTGATGGTGATGACGACTCTGAAAATGTTGATGATGATGAGTATGACGCTGGTGATAAGGATGATGGTGGTTGTGATGATGATGATGGTGATGATGATGGTGATGATGATTATGATTGTGATGACCTTCTGAACTATAGATGATGGTGATTATGCTGGTGATGATGAAGGCTCCCAAGAGTGGACGTTGCCATGAACCATCTCGACCCAGTTCCTGATTCCATGTCTGGGGTCCGCATGGGGCTCTTCGGCCTTCCTGACGCTCGTTTGGTGCTCCTTGCCGGTTTGGCCCAAAATCCCTCGCCCTTTTTGTCGCTCTGGAGCCCTCTCCGCAGCCTCTTGGGGCCATGCCGTGTTTCGCTTTTCTGGTGGCCCAGAATCGCCTCGGCCGGCCCCGAAAGCGCGCAAGCCGCCCAGGGCCTGGTGCATTCTGCCACAGAGGGCAGAATGGTGGGCCCGCGCCCGGCGGCGTCCCGGGGCCCTTTTGGAGCTCTCTTGGAGCCCTTTGGGGGCCCTCTGGGGGCTGGCGCGCCCCACCCGTGGTTCGGCAACCCCCGCCGCCAGTGGCAGCAAGCACGGGTACACACTAGTCTGTATTACAATTCCGGGCGAAGCGCGCGCGAGAAGTACAAGCAGTGGCAGCGCCCCGGGCCGCCCAGAGAGCTCGCGGGCCGCCCGGAGAGCCTCCGGGGCGCTGCCCGACGGGCCTGGGAGGCCCCCAGACCGCTCGCGGACTGATCCAGGATTCCCAGATCGCCCCAAGACGGCCTCAGGAGGCCCCGAAGACGGCCCAAGACGGTCTAAGAGTGTATCCGAGACGCTTACGATGGCTTCAAGACGCCTTCAAGACGGCCCGAGACGCCTCCACGAGGCCCCCAGAGCGCTCGAAGTGCACCTCCAAGAGGGGCCGCAGAAGCCAAAATCGTTGATTTTCATTGTTTTTTCAATGTTTCTGGCCTTCTCGCTTTTTCGGCTGTCCGACGCTCCACGGCCGCCCAAGAGGCCCCCAAGACCGTTCCAAGACGGCCCAAGAGGCCTTCAAGACGGCCCCGAGACGGCCCAAGAACGCCCCAAGACGGCTCAAGAGTCGCCCAAGACGGCCCAAGAGGGACCCAAGAAGGCCCCAAGAGAGGCCCAAGACAGGGACCCGGAACCGAAAAATCGATGCGCCCCCAGGAAGCCCCAAGACGCCCCAACGAAACGCCGGGACGCTCCCAAGACTTCCCCAGGAGGCCCTCGGACGCCCCAAAGAGGCTCCAAGAGGCCCCCCAGAGGCCGCCAAGCGCCCCAAAAGGCTCCCAAGAGGCCCCAAAAGAGGACCCAAGAGGCCCCTAGACGCCCCCAAACTGCTACCAAGAAGCCCCCAAACTGTCTCCCAGAGGCTCCCGAGAGGCCAACCACGAGATCCCAACCAACATCCACGAGATCTCTTGCCCATTACCCAGGCCCGCGGTGAGATTGCCCGCAGGCCACTACAGCCGGTTGGGGGGCCCTACGTATCCCGGCACCCGCACCCTTGGCTGTATCGATGCAGGGCCCTGGGGGGCCGAAACCTCTGGAAACTCGGATCGTCTTGGGCGGTGTCCAAGGCCTTGGGGTACGTGTGGGGGCCAATCCTCGCGCAGTGGAATGGCCAGAACCTTCGGATTTTCGCTAATCGCGGAGAGGCCGGGCGCGATTAGCGAAAACCCGATGCTTTTTGAGACCTCCACGCCCGGCCTTAATCGGTTACGATCGCCCTCTTGGGTCGGGCGCCTCGTGGGGCGGCTTGGGGCAATCTTGGGGGTGTGAGGCCGTCTCGGACCTCGCGTTGGGCTCCCGTGGGCGGCATCTGCGGCTGTGCTGGGCCCTGCTGGGGGTCACTTGAGGCTTCGGCGACACGTGCGAGTTCGGGACCAACGCCTGGACCTGCGGGCCGTGGATTTTCCACGGGTTCATACTAGTCAGCTACAATGCTGGGATCAGCGCGTGCGAGAAGGGCGAGCAGTGGCAGCGGGCGCTGGCGCTACTAAGCGAGATGTGGGAAGTGAAGCTGGAGCCCGACGTCATCTCCTACAATGCTGGGACCAGCGCGTGCGAGAAGGGCGAGCAGTGGCAGCGGGCGCTCGCGTTGCTGAGTGAGATGCGGGAGGCGAAGCTGGAGCCCGACGTCATCAGCTACGTCGCTGCGACCTGCGCGTGTGAGAGATGCGGCCAGTGGCGGCATGCGTTGTCGCTGCTCAGCGAGATGCGGGAGTGCAATGTGGAGACGAACGACATCAGTTACAACGTGTGCACCACAGCGTATGAAAGGTCGTCTCGCAATTCGGCAGGATTTCCCGGCTATCGTGGGATTGGTCTTTCGCATTTTCGCGTGTCTTGCGAAGCACTGTGCGTGTGAGAATTTGTTGGGCAACCATTGTACCATTGTGATACGTGGACGGACATCTGCATTGTGAATTTGACAGCGGCTTCAATCGCGCAGGAAGTTGCTTCGGATAACACTGCAGGGATCCGCCCTGGTTGGCTACAGCGGTGAGGTCAGCATTTGTGAGAAAAGAGAGAGAGGCGTGCAGTGAAAGCGAGATGTTGATTGCGAAGTTGGAGCCCAACATCGACAGCTGCTCAGCGAGTTGCGAGATGCGATGTCGGAGCCCAAGGTCATCTGTACCAACTCTGAGCGGATCTGTATGAACGCAGTGTACTAGCTCCCGAGCTCCCGACACCGGGCCAGGTCGCTCCAAGGACGCCCTAAGCGGCTCGCAAGATCCAGTGCCCCGCATGAGGGCCCAGTTGAGTTTACGATACTTCAGAGAGGGTCCACGGTGCCCGAACGTGTCCGCGATTGCGCCAACAAAAAAAACAAGCAAAACCGTCCCCTCCGCCTTTCGGGATCGCCTTGAGATCGGGGTCACCCCGAGATGCTGATACCACTTGTGCGCAGCCCCCCAATGGGGTGACGCGCGCGCCGAGAAATCCGATAGTATCAGCTGCGTGCTGGGCGCTTTCTGGCCGTACCGCTCGTGAAACGACATACTACAAGATGGTTGTACCACATGTTCGCGTCGGACGCACACCTCCAAGGCGGACGCATAGTTTTTAGACAGTCCTTGCGCTTCCCAACTGAGCGCTCATACACCACCGATCGGGGCTCGGGGTCCCAGCCAGTCCAGGAGCGCGCAGTTTCGACGTCGGGGGCGCATCGCCAATGCATCGGCGATGCGTCGCCCACTGAGGTTGGTGTGCCCCCCCCCCCACCGGTTTCGGTCACGCGCATAGGGGGCTGGGGGGAGGGGGAAGGCTTCATAGAAGCAGGCGTGTTTCTAAGAAGGTGCGGACCTTCTCTATAGATTTAACGCCCGCGCCTTCTTAGAAGCGCCTCTGCTTCTAAGATGCCGTCCCCCCTCCTTCTGTTATGCACGCGCCGCTAATTTATTCAAGGCAGTCTCAAGAGAAGGGTCCCTGGAGGCCTCGTTGAGCTATCCATGAGGTCCTGGTTGAGGCCTCCAGAGGCATCTGGAGGTCCAGAACGGCTGAGGCACCATACGACATGTTTATTTAATCGCTTCGCTCATTCCGCCGGCCCATACAGTCTCATGTCTGCCGTTTGCCCGAGGGCCTGGTGTCAATGCGGCGCTTTGGGGGTTCTTTTGCCAGGCGTCTCGGGAACCTCTTGGAGGCAGCGTTGAAGCCTTTTGAGGCCCCGTAAGGGCCGTTTGGGGGTCGTTGGGGCTTCTTGTTGGGCTTCTTGGGTGGTTCTTGGGGCGTCTTGGGGGACTTATTGGCGGGATGTTGGTGGCTTCTGAGGTGCTCCTAGGGGCAGAATCCCCCTTTGAGCGCCTCTTGGGCGGTCTTGGTGCTCTCTTGTGCCGTCTTGGGGTTATCTTGGGCCGTCTTGGGCCGATTTTAGCGGATTGTTGGGCTGTCTCGGGGCGATGTTGGGGGCTATTTGCGTAGTCTGAGGCGCTGTGAAACTCGAAACGCCGTTCATGCGGGAAGTGTACATGTTCCTCTGGGAATGGGACGATTTTTGATTGTAATGGCCGTCTTGGAGGGCCTCTTGAGGCTCTCTTGGGGCTTCTTGGCGGCCTCGACGGCAATTTTGAGGTCATCTTGGGCGATTTGGAACGATTGGTCGGCGACTTGAGGCCGCTTGGATTGTTTCGGGGGCGTTCCGGTGCCGTTTTGGCGCGCTCCTGGAGCGTTCTGGGGGCATGAGCCGAACGTCGCGCTCTGGGCGGCGTGCGGAAGCCATTGTGTGAGAGGGCGCGGTGGTGAGAAGAACAGCTCACCCCACCCGGCTTTCCGGGCTTTCCGGCGTAAGGAGGGCTTCTTCGCGGCACTTGTGAACGCTCCTGGACAGTGCTTTTTGGGCAGGTTCTTGACGCTTGTTGCAAGTCTGTAGGGGCCCCGTTGGGAGTCTACCGAAAGGAGAGCACATTGTAGCATCGCTTGCGCTTGCTTGCGTGCTCGGGGGGGCATTTGGGGGGCCTCCTGGGGCCTTGGCTCTTGGGGGCCTCCTGAGGGCCTCGTGGGGGCTTCTTGGGGCCTCTTAGGGGCCTCTTGGGGCCTCGTGGGGGCTTCTTAAGGCCGAGGGCTCGAAATGTTGTTTCGTGTTCCCTCTCTGGGGCCCCTTTGGGGGCGTTCTTGGGGCCCTCTTGGACCGTCTTGGAGGCTTCTTGGGCCGTCTTCGAGCCCTCTTGGGCCATCTTGGGGCCCTCTTGGGGCCTCTTGGGCCCTCTTGGGGCGATCTTGGGGGCCTCTTGGGCCGTCTTGGGGCGTCGGGAAGCCGAAAAGGTGGAAGCTCCATGGTTTGTGCTTGCACGTGAAGGAAGTCAAGAGGGGTTTTCATTATGTCGCCCCTTTGGCTCTCTCACTCTTGCTTCACTTAGCTTCTCTGGTCCATAGTCGATGGACGGGGTCGCCATCCCTGGCGGGGCGGCCGCGTTGCCAGCCTGGGTGGTGCTGGCGCTGGAGGCCGCGGCCTACCTGAGGCCAGGGTGGGGCCCTGGGCAGGCTGCCTGCCCTGACCTCTCGTGCCCCGCCTGCCCGGCGTGCCCAGAGGCGGCAGCCTGCCCTGAGGCCGTGGCTTGCCCGGCTTGCGAGCCGCCTCCCTGTGCGGCCTGCCCGGCCTGCGAGCCGCCTCCGTGTGCGGCTTGCCCGGCCTGTGAGGCGAGGGCGTGCCCGACGGTGACGGCGGGCGAGAAGGCGGTCGAGAAGCTGGTTGGAGCGCTGCTCGGAGGGGTGGTGCACTGGCTGGTGGGGAAGGTGATAGCCCGCAGGCATGTCGACGCTCGTGGGGTGGCTCCGCGGAGACGCGGGGCGGGAGTGGTGGACTAGAGCGCTCCCAGGGGAGCGCGTGGTCTGCCGGTTCTCCGACGACGAGGTCGACCACGAGCGAGTGCTGCTACACTACGTGGCAGAGGGTGAGTGGGTCATCCTGACCCCTGACGGTGACATCTACGCGGAGGACTTGAGCTGTGAGAACCCCGAGACGGGGCCTTCTCGGGCCTTCCCGCTGGCGATGCGGACGCGGAAGATGCGGAGGCTGTATCGCTTCCGAGAGGCCCTGGGGCCCGACGAGCTGGCCGACGCGCTGACACGGGGCCGGCAGGCGGCGCTGGAGATAGACGCCGCCCTACCCGAGCCGAGGGAGGCTGTGGCCGTGAGCGGCCAACGGGTCTCGTGGCAGGAGGCTTCGGGCAGGCTGTCGGCCGCGGAGCGGGCCGGCCTGCTGCGCTTGGGCATGGCCGTGGCTCGCTTGGGCGGGAAGCTTCCGGAGGCTCCTGTGGCGGGTCAGGCCTGGATCGCCCTCAGCGGCGGGCCCGGCATCGCGGTCGGGGCAGAGGTCGACGTGGCGGACGGCGAGGGCCTGAGCTTCGAGGGCGGGCCTGAGCCCTTCGGCGTGCTGAGGGCCTCCGACGGCAGCATGGTGCGACTCGCTCGGCTGGACGCTGGGGCGGCCCCTGGGCGCGTGAGCGAGGAGGCCGCGGTCTGGCAAGACCTGGGCAGAGGCCATGCCCGTGCCACGGGCCCCGAGCGCCGACGCGCTGAGGCCGCGGGGCCACTCGAGGATGATGGGCCCGCTGAGCCCATCGGCGGCACGGCTACGCCCGAGCTTGCGCTGCCTCCCGTGGCGGAGCCGCTGGGGGAGGAGAGAGACGCCGACGCCCGCACGCTCTGGGTCGACTACGACGAGCAGGGCGAGCGGTTCAAACGATGGCGGGACGTGGTAGGTGAGTCGAGGCAGGAGCACTACCCGGACGCGAAGGTGGACGGACCGCCGGGGGCTCTCCACATGCTGAAGCACATGGAGAGGCACGGAGGCGACCCGCGGCTCTGGCTCGACCTCTTCATCCGCATGAAGGGCCTGGGTCAGAATGACCGCGTGGTGCACGAGCTGAGGGCGATCGTGGGGGCTTTGTACCAGGGCGGGGTATACGATCAGCTGAACATGGGCGGCCTCATGATGGTGGAGGTGTTGACTCGCCGTGTCGCCGCTGTGGTGGATGCCTACTCGGACCCGACCAAGCCGAGCTGGACGAACGCACGCTTCTTCGAGGGCGTGAGCTCGGTGGAGGACGTTTCGGGGCCAGAGCTCAGGGGCTACGTCCACTGGCGGGCAAAGGAGCAGCATGAGATAGAGCAGGCGCAAGGTCGGGCGCGTACGCTACGTGGGGCGCCTGCAGAGACGGTCGACGGAGCAGAAGGAGCTGGAGGTGACGCAGCAGGCGCGGGGCGCGGTGGCGGCCGAGGCGGCCGCGGGCGCGGCCGGGCCAGGGGCGTCGCCTCCACGGGGCCACGACGGCCCCCGGGCCCGGGGGGTCCAGCCCCACCCCCGGGCCCTTTTTGCCGGGGCACGACGGTGGCCGACTGCCGCCCTCGCGTGGAGCCCGCAGTTTCTTGCCG